TGAAGTTTTTTAGTACAGTATATCCAAAAATCTTGATATTGAGATAATCCCGCCAGCGATCTTTTGGAATTTTTTTCGTGAAATGTTCAACGATGTCGGGGAATATGTTTGCTCTGCGCATTTTTTTTACACACACTCTAATTCATTCTGGTACTTGTGTACTCGTGTTACATTGTGACGAGTGCTGTGGGGTTTCAGATGTACACAGCGGTGTCGGTAAATGCGGTACTGAACTCAGCCAAGTGCACGCGCCTACATCAGTACTATCAAACAGCCGCTAAACGTTGAACAGAAAATCTCATCATCTCACGTCATTAGTGGAATTGTGTACGTGATGAAAGAAATTAGAAGGATCAAGTAAATCTCTCATGCTAATTCTCGCTGACGATTCCAAATAAATATCCCTTTCTGAATGAGTTGATCGCGATTGTGACTCTTGACCAAAGGTGGATTCATATCAGCCTAATCATTTCCCGCTCGTGCGTGTAGGGCATTAAAACAAAAAAGAATCCAGCTAATAGAAGTTTCTTCTTGCTTTCGAAATTGCAGAACAATGTTGTCAAAGTATTTCGAGGTTTTGGATTACTTATTCATGGGATCGTTTCGGATAACCCAGGCTAGGGTTTTGGAATATGATGGAAGAGGATGGGAAGGAATGAAGCATTGTAAAATCTGCTTATTGCAAGTTGCTCTTCCCTCCCGGATAGACGTCCGTCAATATTCCTCATATCTGCATTCACGTGTTAAAGTCTGTACGGTAATTCATGTTACGGAAAATTTTAATCTGCAGTCGACGTACGAGGATTTTTCGCGGCCCGAAATATTTTGTACGCGTAACTTTTAGTACGTCGATAATTTTCTTATACACATTTGTATACATTCTACAATGCGTCAAAATTCTAAGCTAATGACGCATTTTATTCCTGGTGTTCGCAGAATTTTCTCTCCAAGGTTTTTAAAATTGGATTCATAATGTTTCAAATCTTCGTTTTCAGAGCCGTCGGAAGATTTCAAGAAGTTCGTGCAGAATCCATGTGCTTCTAGCGAGAACCCCATTGGTGGAAAAAGTGCTGCTGTTTCCGGAGGTGAGTACTGTGAATGCATTTTTTTTTTTTCGAACGAGCTTTGAACGTTGTGCAGTGAACCTCTGTGATATGGGTCGTCAATATTCCGAACTCGTTTTACAGGATCGAGTCTTTATGGCAAATTTTCGCATGGGGGTTCACTCGCGAGACTTTCTGGGTTGTGAATGCTTGAGGAAATTGGCGAAACGCTTGAGCCGTTTCCTACGGAGGTTCACTTATTTTTTCTTATTGATTCTCTGGCGTACACCGTACCTGACAACCTATTGCGAACGCATTTTCCCGGTTCGTGAAGGTTGGATTATTTTGCCCTTTTATCTTCTGCTGGTGTCTGATGCAATATATCTAGCCAGCCTTTGAAATCTTTCACAAGAGTAGTAGGGTACTGAGTACCCAATTTTTCAAAATACGGTTGATATATATCCAAAATTTATCTTTTTCTATAAACAAATATAATTATATTTCTTCTTTTAAAATTATCTATTTCTTTATTTTTTATCCCCGTGATTTGTCAACAAATTGCAGATCGTATGAAACGGATGAGGCAGCGTGTAATATTTAAATCCAAGATTATTTCAAAACCCCGTGTTGTATACCCACAAATCCGTTGAGCTTCTAAATACTGAATTTAATTTTAAATATATTTTCAGTTATACTGTAATTAATTGTGTTAATAATACCTGGTGCATTGCATCTAGCCAGACGCACTGCGATTGCTGCCATGAATGTGTTGCGTACCTGACTCAATTATTTTTTCCATTTGATTTTCCCAGTGTTAGTGCAATCAGAATTTAAATGTTGCTCTCTTGCATGCGCACACGAAAATCGTAATGATGTTACGGGGAGATTGCCATAATTTCTCATTGAACATCCCTTGAATATTTGATTTGAATCCACACTCGTGGAGATGTACGAAGTTATTAGTCCTCCTGGATTCCCTCGTCATCAATGTCATAATCTGATTTTGATACATTGGCCTGACCTTCACGGTTATTTCGAGGACCGAAATTCGAGTAATGATCCTGCCAATCAACTTGAAGTCACAAACGTGAAAATATTCATAGAGAATGGAATGAACATGGGTTTGACGATCGTAGCAGATGATGGCTCGAACAGTTTTGGAGGACGATGAATTGTTTATTGGTCCACCCTCTATAAGAAGTATTTGCCATTCCCCTGAAAATGGTTCCCTTGAAAGATTTCTGCCAGGAATATTCAATGAATATTGATGCTTGAGGCCGTTGTTATCGTATTCAAATTTCCATTGCCTCCTGTCAGTCTGCGGTTCTGCGATTGTCTTCCAGGACGTTGCCTTTTCTGTATAATTCTTGGCGTCAACGTCTTGAGTTGGAAATTTGAAGAAAAAAAAAATTTTTGACGCGCTTTCTTCGTTTTCTCAATCAGGAAGTTTAGGATTAACATCAATTTTTTGGCCTACGCTTCCCTGTCGGGCTAAATTTAATTCCACAAAAGGAAAAGATTTTCGCGATATATTATTCGAAAGCTGCCTTGTCCCACGAGATTATTTCTCGTCGTCGTCGGGTCTTCATGCATTATGAATGAAGCACGCGTCGGTGACGCTGTTGCCGTCTCGACGCGCAAATGTGACCCACGGGGTTGACGATGCGAATTCGTTTCACTCGTTAATCTCTTCATTTATTTTGAGGCGTTGGCAAGTTTGAGTTTAAAGAAAAAAGGATTAGAGAAGGAAACGTTCCCTGGCGCCTTGTACAGTGCATAATTCTTCAACTGGGAAGATCTAGTGTTAGCATCTATGAGACCGTTCTTCGAAAAGGGGTTCGAATAATTTTCTTCAACCGTTCTTCACCGAATCTGTTGAATGTTGGAAGCGGTTTATTTCAATGTTGTGAAACCTGTCGGACGTTGAAAAAAGGTACCAGTTTATATTTCTTGAATGTTCAAGAAATATAAACTGAATTGAAATAATGAGCCAAGGACTGTACTTCTATTCTTGGTCGTGTCAATTGAAAAAAAGAACGAAAAAAACTAGACTTTCAGGACGATAAACACGGAAGTATTTCCTTATGATCGAGCAGAGCTTCTTATTTGTTGGGAGATACTCTATGCATATGCAACTGAAAATAAAAATTCGTTCTTTCTATGGCATCTATGCCCTACAAGTTCAGAATTCTAATTCATCAGCCTGAAGTAGATTGACGATGAGAATGAGCCGATGAAATCGTGAATTTATTTCTAAACGGAAGCGTCGCACAAAACAACTTATTTACGAATACAACTTATTCGAATTTAATTCATGCATAAATGCAAATGAAATAAAGCTTTAGTCCGAGTTTACAATACATTTATGTATACGTTTTTTTTTTTACGTGCTGAACTTAAGTCAGTAATTTTTGTGCAGTTTCTTTTTTTTTCCTACCTGCCACGCGCACCAATTTTTGCACTGTTCAACGAAAAAAAAGTAGGCTTTCTGCTTCTTTAAATGTGGAATTTTGTGGATAAGATGCAATAATCTGGCCGATTTTCGAGCTGCATTTATGTCAGTTTTTTGTGGACTTTCACAAGTTTCTTACTCTTCGTTCTTTTTTTTCCCCTCTTGGTTTCATCTGCGAAATTTCTTCGTAAATGATGAAGTTCGTTCCCGAGGCGGTTGTGAACCGCATTGGGTACTTTGAACAAGACTATGATGCGTTGCAAAAACATGGATACACGCTTAAGAAATGCATTGGCGAGGGAAGTTATTCCAAGGTACTGTATTAAGTTTTCAGTCAAGCTCGAATTTCTATTCTAGAATTTCAGGGTAAACATCGTCGACTTTAATTTCTTGCGGACTTCTTCTTGAAATACAGTACAGTGCAGTAATTGATGGTGGTTTTCATTACCCACGGAATATACTGTATGTGACGGAGGAGAAGCCTCATAGCTGTGGGAACGAAATTTGATCGTGCCCCGAGAGAGCTGACATTCAACTTAATGGGTTTACGTTGAACGGGTTTGTTGCGGGGTTTCTCGTCGTGTGACATGAGTTAGATGAGCTAATTTTGTTAGGTCGCTGGGTTCCTACGTTGTGATGTGTCACACATTATGGATACGAGTAGCGTCATTTTTTGAGAGTCGCTGTATGGAATTCTCAGCCTTCTGAAGATATTAGCTCGAACGAGTCCTGTTTTTGGTCTTTTTCGATTTCGGTGGAATTAGTCGGGTCATGTTTCGACTGCTCTTTTTTTTATCTTCCGTGGTTTCACCTGAGGTTGACGGCGAATTTTCTTTGAAGAAAAATCATGAATGATTTTTAAAAGTGTTCTTCAATTTTTTGTTTACCTTTGATGAAACTTAAGGTTCGGGCAGTAGTGCGTAAATATTTAGAATTTCTCGCGAGGCTGCATTCGAAACTGTTCGATATTTTTCATAGCCTTGACAGCGACCTTCCTTGTTTATATTCATTCATTCATAGTTCTGCTGAAGGATCTCTTTCTTCCTTTCTCTTAGGAAAATCTTAGATGTGAACAAAAACGTTTTAAAGATAAATGAAGATATGTTGAGCTTCAGTCGTTCGTTGTAAGTAAAGATCGAAGATAAGAGTATCTTACCGTACAGTGAAATTTATTTCAAATTATCCCGAGCTCCGATGAACGGGGCACCCAATTTATCACAACCGAAATTCGATTCATTGATCTAAAGCGGAGTGGTCTGTAAATCTCAGAATTTGAATTTCATCTTCGTTCTCCTCTTCTTTCAAAATTCGTCTTCCTAATTTTCTTCGAATTTTGAAGCGACGGCAGGCGGAATGTTGAATCTTTCTCGAAGCTTGTGCTTACCAATAAACATTTTCTGACGCATTTGATTAGGAATTCAAGCGATCTTCATCATTAGTCCGTGTAATTGGAGGTATACAGCAAGTTCTATATCCCTCGTCATAAATAATTCGAGATGCTCTTATTTATTCATTTAGAGTGTTGGCAAATGGCTTCTTTCTTCCCTTCTTTAAAAAATCTTTATGTGGATAAAAACGTTTTGGAGATGGATGAAGATGTGTTGAGCTAGATGCTCTTGCTTAGCAGGCATTTCATGGGATTGCGGTTCTTTTGTTTCATGCGCGTTGAATGGATCCTTACCCAGAAGTATCGGATTCTGGTTTCTTTTCATGTGTTTTATTTTATTTCAAATTTCTGTCGAAGCGTGCCTCAAAATCCCGGGAGTGGCACAACTTTCTCATGGATTTGAGAGGACGGTCTACGCCTCTTTGGTTTATGCATAATGGTGATATACCGCACGGGGTGGACAGAAATAATTACGAAGCTTTCGAGACACGAGAAAGCTTTCAGTATATCAGAGTTCCTTAACAATTTGAGAGCATTTCAAGCGTTCAGCTTTTGGGAAAATTTATATCTTCAACATAACAGAAATAAACGAAACCTAAATAGTGGAACGTCAACGATGGATGCCTCTATTTCAGGAGTTGACTCCTTTTTTTTTTTTTTTAGTTGACTATACAGTACTTGAACTTTCAAGAAAAATATCGCTGAATGCAGCTCGTACGTTTTATGCGATAAATATTGGGTATCTGTTGGAGATGCAATATTTTCCTTTTCAGTTTTGAACCTTTTTGTAAGCTTTGAATCGTATTCGAAATGTTATTCATCCGATTTACAGAAATTCATTTTTAATTGACGTTCACATGTACCGAAACGTGGTCAGATGTCATCGTTATCTCGAGGCTCTGGGATTTTTTATTATAATTCTGTACTTGTGCATTGGAGCCGAATGTTATGACAATGCATTGTGTTATCGAATTTTTATGCTTGTTTATGCTTCCGAAAATAATATACCGTCAAATATAAGACTGTTTGTTCGAGCCAAATTTTTGAACTGCGAAAAAATTATCTTACTTTTGAGTGAGTGCAATACGCTTTAAAAATTGGAAATAAGCGAATCAATTCTTTTAAAATTTTCTTACGAGTTTATGAACTTGTTCTTGACTTCTCGTGGGAACCCGCCTCTTTTTCATGCTTTGTTGCTTCAGACGTAATTAGGCGAAGGGACTGTAGCTCGCATACATTTTCTGAAATTGAACCTTGGGGTCATGCATCGTCTGCAATTATTTCCGTGGTTATTTGAATGCAGGTACACTATTTGCTTTTCTTGATGAGCATTCAGCAGAACTCGCTCGTTCGCATCCGCAGTAATTTTCAATTTATTTCATTTCTCTCGTCGAGGTTCGCGTGGCGCGTTACAGTTGTGGCACAGTGTCGGAAATGCTGGCCTGCAAAATGCTCAAAACGGACAAATGTAGTGGAGGTCTGGAGACGAATCCCTTCGTTCGCCGAGAACTTAGCATTATCCAGACGTTGCAGCACCCCAATCTTATCCGCATTCACTCCATCATCGCTGTCAGCGACAGACTGTACATTTTCATGCAGTATGCGGAAAACGGTGACCTGCTAACGTACCTTTTAAAGGTTTTTCTTTTCATTTTGCTTTTCTGTCGAAATCGTTGCTAGCAATTTTAGTGGAGGGCTTTTTGACACTTCAGTTAATTGCAGGATTATCTTTTCGTGATATGTTTGCTCGAAGAGGATGTCTGGAATTTTTTCCAAGTATTTTTTCGATGTGAAAAAATCGACCAATGATGAACCGTTTGGCAGAAGAAGAAATTTGTTGTTCCGTGTTTCCCCAGAGAAATTATATTTGTTGACAATCGTATTGTGGACTTCTGAAGGACATTTTAGTTTGGTACATTTCCGGTCGATTAAAAAATGTAGTCAATCCTTTTTTCATGTGTCCATTTGAATACTACGCAACTTCCAAAAATTCGAAGAAAACTGATTAAAAATACGGTTAAGGTCTGAATGATGTGAACGCATTCGTTGTAACGCACTGTGCTTATTGATTTATGTCTAGCTATTCATCTGAATTCGTAGTAGGGATATTTTAAGGATTGGAGTATTTTCATGCGTTGTTCACTTCATCGATTGATCTATTATTTTATTGCGAATGATGTTTTGATCGTGATCACTTGTGTTTTTATAAATTTCTGGCCATTCCTTCTCTAAAATTTAAAACTCAAATGGACTTATTTTGATGTGAAAAAATCGTCCAATGATGAACGGTATGGAAGAGGAAGAATTTTATGTTGTTCCGTGTTTCCCCTGAGAAATTAAATTTGTTTGCAGTCGTAATGTGAACTTCGAGAAGGACATTTTAGTTTGGTACATTACCGGTTAATAAAAAAGCGTAGTCAGTCCTTTTTTCGTGTGTCCATTTGAATATTACGCGATTCCAAATTTCCGGGGAAAACTGGGCAAAAAGATTATTGTCTCCTCGTCGCGTTCTTCGATGGTCAATTTTTGCATTTCCGAGCGTAAATGTTTAATGTCATTTAGACGTAGAAGTTTGAGTCGTTCATTTTTCTCGATGGAACACCTGGATAATCAATTGAAAATACTAACTGCTCTGTAAGTTCACAACCATGGTTTCTTAAAAAAATGTTTCGATGGGATATTTGTCTTTAACTTCTCTCTTGTAGAATCATTGTCACTATTAGTGCACCTTGATGGTTTATGTGCTGTACATTTTTTAAAGTTTTTTACCCTCAATTTAAGAAACTTGGATTTTAGTGTACACGAATTTATTTCCTCTGATCCCACGGATTGGCTCGTACTTACACTCGATCGTCTTAAATCATGTTCGATGACATTCATCTGTGACTTGTTTTTTTTTTTAATGATCAGTTTTTTGTGAAATGACTTCATCCAATCAGGAAGGGCACACGAAAGAGCCGAGAACTTGGGCCTGGTTTCGTCAGATGGCCTCGGGGCTGAAATATTTGCACGTTCGAGATTTGGCTCATCGGGATCTGAAATGCGAGAACATCCTTATCACGAAACATTTTAATGTTAAAATCGGAGACTTCGGGTTTGCTCGCAGTGTTGTGGATGACGACGGAAATCGAGTTTTAAGCAAGACGTACTGCGGATCCACTGGTAAATCAAAGACGATGCCGTTAGAACAAATGAAATCATCATAATTGCCTCACTGGACAAAATTGTGGTCTTGTGAGACAAGTACTTTCCAGCGTGGATTGAAACTACTTCAGCGTGTTGTAGGGGAGAACCCGATTATTTGCTTTTGATATCCATTCAGACTAATTGTATGATCTCAAACTGATTTGATTCAGGAGTGCCTCCTAATTACTGTATATGAAGGTACTCGGGAACGTTGGTCGACTTGTTGATCTCGGCTGTAGTAATCCAACTTTTTTTAAATTTCGTATCCAAATCAGTCATGTTTCGTAAGGGATTTTGTCTGATCAGTGCTGGTTTTAACTCAAACCAAAACCGTACCGACCATTGTGAGTGATAACTTTAAACGAAGAAGAGTCGGGAGTTTTGCATTCCATTACTTGTTTTCGAAGTTTTTTGCCATGCAGTATTTTTCTTGTGGAATTATGTTATTACATTTTTTCCAGACCTAATCCGGCAATTTTCAAAGATTCAAAAGAAAATATTGCTCGTGTTGATGGCGGTTTATTATAAATTTATATTCATCTTTGATTCGGGATAATTTTTAATTTTTTATGTTCGAAATAACCTGTAATTTGCTTCTTGAGTAAGATTGACGACGTAGTTGTCTATCGTCGTTAAACCTTTTTGGATGATCACCCGAAATATTTTTTTTTAATTCGTGAAAATTTGGAATCTTGAATAAGTTACCGCATTATCAGAGGAACCGAGAGATTTTGTTGATCGAAAAATAAGTTTTATTTCCTTTCTTGAAGTTAGTTTCATTTAATTCAAGGTTACATTGCACCGGAGGTTTTGCAAAAGCAACCCTACAATCCACAAATGGCGGATGTTTGGTCTCTCGGAGTAATTTTGTATATCATGATGAATGCTTGCATGCCTTTTGATGAGAGACGCGGGCAGATGCTCAAGGATCAGTTCTTCCGTCGATGGAAACATCGGTCGCATGTCCGACGAGAATTCAGTGAACCTGTGATTGAATTAGTTTCCAGGTTGGTTATTTTTCTGTCATGTGTGAAATTCTGTTCCGTTTTGTTCTGGAAAATTTTTTTTCTTTCGTTTCTCTGATACGGCTGGAGTTTTTAATGTTTTGAGTTTCAACTGATAGTTCTATTACTTCCTCGCCGAATATTTTCAAGTTTCAATTTGCGCCAGTCTTCGTTGAAATTTACCTTGAAAGTTATGAAAATATTCCGCGCTGAAAAGGACTCCAGAGTCCAGTAAGTTCAAGAAGACCGACAGACCCATCTCTTGTTTGTTTTTTACGAGGCACATTATAATGTTCATGGAGTATTTAGAAACACGGTCGGAATTCACTGAACTTTAAAGACTCACCTTGATGAGAAAGAGAGGTTGAAAAATCTTAGGGCTTCACAGAAGTCTCA